TGGTTGAACGGTGGAATTAGAAATGGGAAATGTGTCAGGTGCCGGTGGCTCACGCCTGCCATCCTAACTACTTACACGGGAGGCTGAGATCTGAGGATGCTGGTTCAAAGCCACCCTGGGCAAGAAAATTGGTGAGACTCTTTTTTGGGGGTCAGTTGTGGGGCTTGAACTCAGGGCCTGGACGGTGTCCCTGAGCTCTTTTGCTCAAGGCTAAGCGCTCTACCATTTGAGTCACAGATCTACTTCCGGTTTTAAAGTGGTTCACTGGAGATAAGAGTCTCATGGGGATTTTTCTGCCTGGGCTGGCTTTGCACTGTGATCCTCAGATCTCAGCCTCCCTGAGTAGCTAGGATGACCGCGTGAGCCATCGGTGCCCGGCAGTCATGGAGGGTCTTGAGCAGGGGATCAGCACTGCTAGAACAGGCTCTTGGTGGTTGGAATGGCTGGCGGAAGAGGGGCCATGGTTTTAGGAGTTGGCCCTATCTCCTCCCTCCTTCCCTTCAATCCTATCTAGGGCCATCTTGGTAAGGAAGGATGAGGTCCGGCCCCTGAGCTTTGAGTTCACTCCTGAGACCGAACGGCAGAGGATCCAGCAGCTGGTAGGGTCTCTTAGGGGGAGACCATTGGGCTCTTCAACTCCTAGAATCCAGAACCATAAGAGACCCCCCCCCCACCTCCCCTCGCCAAGGAGGAACCTGACCTGAGCGTCGTCCTTCTACTTTAGGCCTTGGTCTACCCTGAGCTTCTGGCTGGTGAATTTACCCGCCTGGAGTTCCCACGGAGGCTGAAAGGAGATGACTTGGGGCAGAAGGTTTTATTCAGAGATCACCACATGAGTGGGTGGTGAGTGAGACAGGATCGGGGGCGGGGGGGGGGGGGGTTTGGACAGGGTGGGGACGGAGAGGACCCACAGCTGGGCTTGGAGCGATCCTCTTCAACTTGGGCTGATCTTGCCATTTACTTTTGTATTTCTGGCTGGTCATGAGGCTTGAACTCGAGACCTGGGTGCTCTTCAGCTCAAGGCGAGCGCTCTACCCCTTGAGCCACGGCGCCACTTCTGGCCTTTTCTGCTTCTGTGGTGCTGAGGAATCGAACGCAGGGCCTCATGCATGCTGGATAAGCACTCTACCATTGAGCCGCCTTCCCAGCCCCCCCCCCCGTGTTTACTTTTGATAGGAGCTATAAGCGTGTGGAGAAAGCCGATCTCAAGTACCCACTGATTCACGGGCAGGGTAGGCAGGTAAGTCCCTGGGACTCCCAAGAATGACCTAGCAGTGTCAAGGGCTGGCACTTGAGCAGTCATGGAACCATCCATCCACTGGTCCCCTTTGCTTGTCATCAGGCAAGGTTACTGGGAACGCTGGCTGTCTCCCGAGGTCTCGGAGACCATCAGCTTAGAGTCCTGGACACAAACATCCAGCTGAAACCGTTCTTGCTCTCCATCCCACAGGTAAGGAGATGGAGGAGGCCCCAAGGTGGTCCACCTGCTCAGAATCTACAAGCTTGGGGAGGGGAGCAAAGAGGAGATTCTCAGGTTTCACTTGCAGGTAACCGTGCTGGATATGGACCAGCTGGCCTTGCAGGAGGAGGATGTGGTTGTCATGGCAACCGACGGGCTCTGGGATGTCCTGTCCAATGAGCAGGTGGCACGGCTGGTCCGGAGCTTTCTCCCCGGGAATCGTGAAGATCCACACAGGTATTGCAGCTGCTGGGGGTTGATGCCAGCAACAAATATCAAAGAATCATATAGCTGGGTGCTGGTGGCTCATGTCTGTAACCCTACTCTGAGGATCGTAGTTCAAAGTCAGCCTGTTTCCGTGAGACTCTCAATCTCCAATGAACCACCAGAAAACCGGAAGTGGTGCTATGGCTCAAGTGGTAGAGCGCTTGGCCTTGAGCTGCAGAGCTGAGGGACAGCACCCAGGCCCAGAGTTCAAGCCCCACGACCGACAAAAAAAAGTTAGAGTACTAGCTTTGAGCAAGAGTTCAGGGACAACTTCCAGGCCCTGAGTTCAAACCCCGTGACCACCACCACTACCACCATCAGCAGAAAGACCCAGATACCCTTGGGGTTTAGATTGATTTCTGTTAACCTAGCTTGTGGTCTCCCAGTCTATTGCTCGCTGGGCCTGTAGTGGGGAACTTTCCCCGAAGTGTCCAGCTGTGTACATCTGCAGGATGGTCTTTGCAGGTTCTCGGAGTTGGCCCAAAAGCTGATCCTGAGCACACAGGGGACAGACGGCAGTGCCCCAGAGGAGGTGTCCTATGATGACATCTCTGTGTTCGTGATTCCCTTACACAGCCAGAGCCAAGGGGGCCGTGGCCCATGAGGATGCAGACTTCTGTGTTCCAGAACGTCTCCACGGTTGTCCACAGACACATTCTGTTGTTGGCTTCCACCTCGGCTCTCCTGGGGGTACAAGTCAGAAATGGAAGAGTAGGAACAGTCTAAGCGTCTCCTCTGGTCGAGGAGAGATTCTTATTTTTGCCAGTCCTGGGGCTTGAACTCAGGGCCTGGGCACTGTCCCTGAGCTTCTTTGGCTCGAAGTGAGCACTCTACCACTTGAGCCACAGCACCACTTCCGGATTAAATTGTTTCCTGGAGTATAAGAGTCTCACAGTTTCCTGCTCCAGCTGGCTTGGAACTATGTGATCCTCAGATCTGGGAGCCACAGATGCCAAGATGGCTGCATAGCCATCTTGAAGGCAGCTCCTGAGAACCAGTTCCGTTCCTGCTCTCCCACAGGATAGAGCACAGGCCCTAGTGAAAAGCTGTGGGGAACAAAAAGGAGAGGCATTTCCAGTTGGTGGGTATGGAGTGCTCACCTTGTCTCTAGCCTGGCCTTGTAGCTCCTTGCTTCTCCCTAGCCCAGCCCTCCCCATTGTCTATTAAAAAGTCTGCCCTGCAGAAGAGCTCGTGTGAACTGTGAATTGCTTGTACAACATGGCTAAGGTGCTAGCTGCTCTTTCTTGTGGCTTTCCGGTGGATTCTTCTTAGCTCCTCGTAATGATGCTGGCAGTGTGACTTAGTGGTAGAGTGCTTGCCTACATGTGTGAAGCTCTGGGTTCGAGTCCACTGTACCCCATAAAACAGAAAAAGCCAAAAGTGAAGTAGTGCTGTGGCTCAAGTGGTAAGAGTGCTAGCCTTGAGCCAAAGCACCTCTGAGTTCAAGGCCCAGGACTGGCAAAAACAATAACAATAAAAACTATAGATTTAGCTGGCCACAAGCTAGGACTGTAGTTCTGGAAGTGGTGGATTACAAGACACCTTCACAACCTCAGCTTTATCTGACTGTCCCTTACTCCTAGTTTACAGTTGCGGTAAGCAGGTACTGGTAGCTCCAATGCACCACCAAAAAGCTGCAAGTGAGCCAGATGCTGGTGGCTCATGCCTGTAATCCTAGCTACTCAACAGGTTGAGAGCTGAGGATCATGGTTCAAAGCCAGCCTGGGCAGGAACATCTGTGAGACTTGTATCTCCAATGAACCACCAGAAGACCAGAAGTGGCGCTGTGGCTCAAGAGATAGAGCGCTCGCCTTGAGCTGAAGAGCTCAGGGACGGCACCCTGGCCCAGAGTTCAAGCCCCAAGGACCCTCCCCACCCCCTCACAAAATTGAGGTCAATTTTCCCAGCTTAACTCAGCCATCAGCTGTAGTCAGGAAGATCTACCAGAGCTGATGGTGAGAATTGTCATCTGAGAGGTTCTCAGAACTACCCGCCCTGCTCCTTCATCTTATTTGCTGTAACCTGTCCAGGGAAGAGAGAAAAATGATACCACCTCGCCCTTGCTTTTCACATAGCTGGGATTCAGACTAGAATGTGTGGTCTGAACCTGTCTCCAGCTGAGCCCTGTCAGTCCCCTGAACCTGTGGGTGGGTGAGGCTTGAGTGCTACCCTACCAGGCTGAAGTGTGACTTCCTTCCTCAGCAAGCCCTCCCCGCCTCCGAGCGAAGCGTGGGCACTTCCTGTGCGGGCCTCTCAACCCACAGCAAGTGCTGAGCCAGCTAGCCCCCACAGCCTGTCCGTCCGTCCATCTATTCCTGCTCCTCACATGAAGCCCAGGGAGGTACGGACAGCCAAAGAGGGGTACAAAAGTGGTCACACAGGTCACATGTCACTCAGAAGCAAGGACTGTGGCTCTCTCCTGCCAGGTTTCTGTGTGTGTGCCAGTCCTGGAGCTTGAACTCAGGGCCTGGGTGCTACCCTGAGCTTTTGTGCTCAAAGCTAGCATTCTTATTAACCATTTGAGCCACAGCTCCACTTCTTGGTTTTTGGTGGTGAACTGGAGATGCATCTCATAGACTTTCCTGCCTGGGCTGGCTTTGAACCACAAGCCTCAGATCTCAGCCTCCTTAATTGCTAGAAAGGCGTGAGCCACTGGTGACTGGCTATCCTGTCAGAGCTGATGAGGCTCTTTTTCTTGAGTAGAGGGAGTCATCGTTTCCCAGTGTCAACGTTAGACCTAGCCAAACTCTAGTGACAGATCCAAGGTTTTCGGGGCTTGGCTGGGCTGAGGTGGGAAACGGCTCCTGCAGCTTTGAGGCTAGACCATTCTTCTTGCTCTCCATAAGACCCAGATGCCAGTGGCTCACACCTGTCATCCTAGCTACTCAGGAGGCTGAGATGGGAGGTTCCTGGTTTCAAAGCCAGCCCGGGCAGGAAAATCCGTGAAACTTATCTCCAATAAACTGGAAGTAGCACTGTGGGGGAAAAAAAAAAGTTGCCAATCTGATCACTGTTTAAACAGTACAGACTAAAGGTAGTGTGCTCAATGATCAGTGCTGGGGTCAGATTTGCATTTCCCACTCATTTCTGCCCCTGTGGCTGCTTATTAAGAGTCTGGGGTTCAAGGATAGGTCTGACTGTACTTGGCAATCTACCCAACAGAGGGAGACCTGTATAAGCTAGAACCTGCGGCAGCACCCCCTCCCCCCTCCCCCTCCTGCAACCAGGCAAACAACGCTACAGAAACTCAATGGAAGAGGCTACAGCCGTAACATTCTGTTTAAGACTGATAACATGGGGGAAAAAAGTTTATATGTTTTAAGTACAAAAAGGACATAAAATTGTATGTACAGTAGAATAACAACTATGTAAACACGCCCCAAATCTATGCACAGAAATGTCTAGAGAAACATTTAACATCAACAGATTTAACATAATATGTGAGTCGCCCACGATTCTGTAATTCTCTCAAATTTTCCTTAGTAAGCAATAATTATGATTACAACAGGGAATCATTTTTAAAAAAGAAAAAAAAATTAAAAAGAGGAAAAGAAAATACCCCACTGGAGAGCTGGGAGTGTAGGTCACATGGTAGGCCACTTGCCTAGCAAGTGCCAAGGTCCTGGGTTCAATTCACACTACCCTAAAAAACAAAAAAAGAGGGTAAGGGAAGGGGAAAAACAAAAAATCCCACTGGAGTTGGGCATGATAGTGAATGCCTAGGATTGTACAATTGGAAAAGTGAGGCCAGCCTGAACCTACATTGTGAGACCCTGCCTACACACACGCACGCACACACACACACTTACTTGCACATGCATGCACACACAGTCCCCCACCACATACATAAAAGCAGTGGCTACCCACGCCTCACTTCTAGCTTGTCTCCCCAAGGCTAGCTCTGCAGTTTTCAGGGCTTGTTGGTGGTGGCATGTTTTCTGAAGACATGGCACCTCAGATTTTGGACACAGAGGAAGTCAGATACGAATTGTTTTCTTTCTTGATGCTGGGTAAAGTTAAGTCTTTTCTCTGAAAAGACTCAGAAGCGTTGATGCCCCGCGGGCAGGCGGCCCCTCCACACCGGGAGAGGTACAAGTCTCCTAACCGTGCGGGCACCACACCGTACCATACAGCAGATTCTCGTCTGCTGTAACACAGGTGTCTGCCTCTTGGCTTTTCAGCGTGAATAACAAGTAAAAAAATAATTGCTTTTTTTTTTTCTAAAAAAAAAAAAGAAAAAAAGAAAAAAGTGCTAGTGAGTCATAGCCTAGGATTGCTGCTCAGCAGAAGCAGTCATGGCTGGATTGACTCCTGGCAGCTGCGTACCGCAGGGTGATTTATACACAACCTTGTTGGGCCTCAGTTTCTCCATGTGCAGGGGAATGCTAACCCCAGAAATGTTTGGGTGGGAACTTAAGTCACTGACTGCTGTAGCTCTTTGCCACCTGGGCCTTTCTCAGAAGCAAGCAAGCAAGCAAGAGAGCACGAAAGACCAACCAGCTAATGGGAGTAACCTACTCAATTGGCAAAGAAGCTTCGGACAATGAAGAACACTGGTTCTAGCACCCTGTCCCCAAATGTGGCAAGCTAGGCACGGAAGCCATGCAAAAGTGACAGACACACACACACACACACACACAGGTGCAGACAGAGCATAACCAGGTGAAAAAGAGACTAATACTGTAGAGAGGGCCCCAAAGTGTGGGTTGAGGCACACACAGGGTCAACCCTTCACTTAGCTGCCAAGGGAAACAGCAAACACTAGAAGTTTCGCTTCATCGAGTCTCCCAAAGGGAAGAGGAGAGGGGAGGAAGGACTAACACTGGTGGCAAACACTTTAAGCAAGGGTGCAGGCCTCCCTCCTTGAGCTGGATTCCAAAACTATACACGAGAGAGAAGATAAGATGCCTGCACAAGTATATTTAAGTGGAGGTGCGCACGCTGTGCTAAAATACAAACAATGCAAAGGTCATATATAAAAAGGCTAAATAGAACATATAACACAGGCCTAGAGCCAGCTCGTTGGGGGGGAGCTGGGAGATCGTTCTGGGGTGTCATCTGCAAACTATGTACACAGTTGGTGGTAGGCAGGGGAGGCGGCATCATTGTAAACAACACAGACTCGTTCCACAACACTGGCCCACCGGAGAGTGGGATGCACCGCAGGAACCAAGCTGGGCTCCTGCCGCGCCGCGCCGCTTCTGTACGGAGCACGTGCAGCAGGCACCCAAAAGGACGATGGGCTTAGATGGGTGTGGAGGACTGTCTAGCCCTTGGAACTCACCTGTCTGTCACTTGACCTACCCTACACCAGAGCCTGAGGCCTGACCAGATCCCCCACCCTCACAGATCTAACTTGCAGCACACCATGCTTCCTTCGCTTTTCCTGTGCCTTCCTCAGACCCCCGACGCCCGCCAAGACTTCACTTCTGGAAATGTTTGGCACCTAAGAAACACGATGGCTGTGGAGCAATGCCACGAATACAAAAGGAGACCCCAGTAACAACACATGCAGGATGAGGGCAGGGCACAGCGCGCCCCTGGCATCTCAAAACCACAGCGGAGGCTTCCCATGCATTTATCAGGGGAGAGGAAGGATGTGCAGAACGGACCCCCGTCCCCGGCTCCTCGGCAGCAATTACATTCAAAGTTCCAGGTGCCCAACAGCCTGTGACCTAGCCGTGAGTGTGCTCGGCCCGCAGGAGGAGCCGGAGGCGGTGCTGGCTGCAGAGGCCGCGTCCCAATTCAGTCTTCAGCACCAGGGTCCATTTGGAGAAGCTCAGCAAAGTCGCAGTTTTTGTGTCAGATATAGCACATCCGTGGGAAGGCATGGTAGAAAGATGGTTTCCAGCAGGGGCAGATGATCCCATCCGGGTCAGCTCAGTCCCCTCTGAGTTTTTCCTGCCAGCACCCTCACAGTACACAAACAGCCAGGTGGCCTTGGGGTCAGTCATCAATGGTGGGCAACCAGAAGGCCTAGGGAGGAGATCATAAAGAAAAGTTCAAGCAACCAAGCCTCGCCTCGCCGTGGGCTTCGTTCTCCAACCCAAGGTGGTGGCATTCAACCTCCAATACTGGCAGAGTTATGGCTCGTGTCCCTCCCTCTTTTCCCATCCATCTGAGACCTACAGAGACAGAAAACCCACCAAAGCAAACAACACCCCGAGTTCAAACCCCAGCTCCAATTCAGTGTAAAATAGGAACGGAAGACTTTAAGGTTGCAGTTGTTAAAAAGCCACTTCAGAGTATTTTATAGCTGGGTGCTGGTGGCTCAATGCCGGTAACGCAGGCTACTCAGGAAGTTAAGAGCTAAGGATCACGGTTCAAAGTCAGCACGAGCAGGTAGTCTGGGAGGCTCTTAGCTCCACCGGAAAACCGAAGTGGTGCTGTGACTCAAAGTGGTAGAGCACTAGCCTTAAGCAAAAAAGCTCAGAGACAGCATCCAAGACTTGAGTTCAAGCCCCATGACTGACCCCCCCAAACCAAACCAAACCAGGAGAAGCACCCTGTAGTCTCTTGGGAGCTCAGGGGTAACCTTGTATATCACAGGCCAAGTAGAGATTCCTTTGACAAGGTGTAACGCAGGGAAGCCAGTAAAGAGTCACGAATGTGCCATGGCACCTGGTAGGTTTGCTGAGGCACCCACCGAGGGGACCCAAGTGCACAAGACCCTGCTCACATACCATGTTGGAACATGCGCTGGCAAAGGTCATGAACTTCGGGTTGAACTGCAAACAGGTAATGGGGCCTGTGTGTTTGCCATCCAATACAGCTACTTTTATGCCACTCTCTCCATTCCACACGTGGATCTTGCCATCCTCAGAACCTAAGGAGAATGATTGTGGACATGTATTACTAACTCAAAGACAGGAGAGAGACACATAGGGATCAGGTCTAGGAAAAGATTGCCCATCCTTAGGACTAGCCCTCACAGGAATGAGAGGCAGGAGAGTGAAGGGAGGACATTTTTGGAGTTGATGTTTTTTTGGTTGGTCGTGGGGGTTGAACTGAGGGCCTGGGCACTGTTTCTGTACTCTTTGCTCAAGGTGAGCGCTCTACCACTTTGAGCCACAGCACCACTTCTGGTCTTCTGGTGGTTTATTGGAGGTAAGAGTCTCATGGACTCCTGCCTGGGCTGGCTTTGACAGCTTCCTGATTAGTTAGGATGACAGGGCTTAAGAATTGATCTTGAGGGGGCTGAGAAGGTGGCTCAGTGGTAGAGTGCTTGCCTTGCATGCATGAGGCCCTGGGTTCGATTCCTCAGCACCACATAAGCAAAAAGAAAAAAAAAAAAAAAGCCAGAAGTGGCCCTGTGGCTCAAGTGGTAGAGCACTAGCCTTGAGCTGAAGAGCTGAGGGACAGCGCCCAGGCCCAGAGTTCAAGCCCCACGACTGGACCCAAAAAAAAAAAAAAAAAAAAAAAAAGAATTGATCTTGAGGGCTGGGAAGGTGGCTCAGTGGTAGAGCGCTTGCCTTGCATGCCTGAGGCCCTGGGTTCGATTCCTCAGCACCACATAAGCAAAAAGAAAAAAGCCAGAAGTGGCGCTGTGGCTCAGGGGGTAGAGCGCTAGCCTTGAGCTGAAGAGTTCAGGCCCTACGACCGGACCCAAAACAAAACAAAACAAAAACAACTGATCTTGACTCTGATTATTTGTCCTGGGACAAACAAGTAATTGCTTCAGTCTCCATCTCTCTCTCTCTCTCTAAGACAGGGTCTCATTATTTAGCCCAGGCCAGCCCCACACTTTATCCATTTTTGTCTCTCAAAGTGCTGAGATTATAGGAGAATCCTTACAAGTCATCTCCCATCCAACTACTTTTCCAAGCCACAAAAGGGCTTACCAGTGCCACAGCCAACTGTAGGTAGATACACACTAACAAGTTAGTAATGCTAACAAGGCAGTGCTTTTATTTTACTTTTTTTTTTGTTGGTGGTGGGGCTTAAACTCTGGGCCTGGGCGCTGTCCCTCAGCTCTTCAGCTCAAGGCAAGTAAGTGCTCTACCACTTGAGCCATAGAACCAGTTCCTTTTATTTTTTAAATTCAGATTTTTTTTATTGGGCTCTATGATGGAAAGCATAAGTTCAGTTCCAATGCTAGAATTGTTGGGTACTTCTACGAACGGCCAGGAACTAGACAGTGCAAGGCAGTGCTTTTAGAGATGAATTCTAATATGTGCCCAGGCAAGACCCAAGTTATTATCAGTTTTTTGTTTGTCTTTTTGGTCAGCTGTGGGGCTTGAACTCTGGACCTGGGTGCTGTCCCTGAACTCTCCAGCTCAATGTGAGCGCCCTACCACTTGAGCCACAGTGCCACTTCAAGTTTTCTAGTGGTTTATTGGAGTCTCACAGACTTTAATGCATGGGTTTGAACCATGATCCTCAGATCTCAGCCTCCTGAGTAGCTAGGATTACAGGCATGAGCCACCAGTGCCCAGCTCCAGTTAAATCTCAGTTCTGCATCATGGATCATTAAAGCTGCTCACCGATCATGATGAACTGGGAGTCTGGAGTAAACGAAGCCTCCAGCGTGACAGCTTTGCTGTTGGCATAACCCTAAAACGAAACAAGAGTTCTCTGGTTGTTACAGGGTACTAATAAAGACAATGGCTTAGGAACTCCAATCCAGTACACACATCATCTTTCTTTTACACGAAAGCCCCTCTGTCCTGAGATGCTGTGAATATGGCTGTCAGCTTTTATATTCTACTCCTAACTCCATATTCAAAGGGGCAAGAAAAAGACGATTAGGATTAATTTCTAAAGGAAATAAGCTCACGTGCAGGAAGAAAAGGCAAACCTATGTCCTAAGTAAGTGAAGGCTGACGGTTGCTCTTTCCCCATCCAGCTAATCACCCCATCCTCAGGGCAGAAGGACCAGCTATACTCAAGGCCAGGTGCTCACCCCAAACGTGTGCATCACCACGCCCTTGAACGCATCGATGAGGCGAATGAAGCTGCCATTGGTGGAGATGAGTATGAGTTTGCCATCGTTGCTGAATTTAAGCCCTGTCCATTCACAAGTCCGATCATACTGCATCTTAAAGGTCGCAAACGGTCCCTGCAAATGATAAAAGACAGCAGTCCCCATCCCCCGACCAAGACACATGAATAATAAGAGATGCCAAAGAACTATTGCTAGAGCACAAGCATTATTTTATCCCTTTAGATGCCTTCTTGAGGGAGAAAGCAAAGGATGAAACACTGCACTGCATTCCCTAGTATCTACCACATACTACTATCTCTACTGGGGGAGGAGGGGAGGCTCTTAAATACCCACCCACACTTAAAATGACCATGACATCAAGATAGCTCAAATTCAGTTACCTTATCAAAAGAACGAAGATCATAAAGTTTGACCATTTCAGAGTTGACACCTGCAGCAAAAATTAACCCTTCTGGATCGAAAGAACAAACTGGCTTGCCCTGTAGATGCATGAGACCCTAGAGAAAGGAAGGAAGAAGTGAATGAATGCAGCGTTCACCACTGCACAACGAAAAGCAACAAAGTGATATGAACGGATACCCAGCCTACCCACAGAACAGAAAAAGCCAACAAAAAGATTATTTGCAACTAAGGAAACAGGACAAGGAGATCTGTTGGGGACACTATTTCTTAGAGGGAAGGGTACAGGTAGTGTGATAAAGGGGGTGAAATTGACTGCAATACAAGGTAAACTTGTGGAGATGCAGCAATGTAATCCGCATGATATAATTATATATGAAGCAATATAAAAAAAAATCCATGGGGTGGGCCATTGGGGGGGGGGGGGGGGGAGAGAACTCAGTAATGAATTCACTGTATAACCTACAAAATTAATAACAGGGAGGAAATAGACAGGTTGGCAGGGATGGGTGAAAATGTTGAAAGGGTGAGAATGTTGAAAGGGGCGATACTGATGATCAAGATGCGTTGCATTCATAAATTGCTTTGTTGAATGGCAATTCCCTATACAACTACTTAAAGAAAAAAACTCACTAGACGAAGCTTAAAAACAAAACAAAACAAAACAAACACCACATGGCTGATTTCTGATCAACTCTTAATAGCACCAAATCCCGAGACTGGTAGGGAGAACTCAAAGATACGACCCTGTACCACTTGATAAAATGCAATCTACACTGGATTGGGGTATCTGTTTACTAACTGGGAGCCTACCAAGAAGAGAAGGATATGTTAAGAGAACTCTGGGATCCCAGAATAGAAGCACTGCTTCCTCTTTTCCTCCAGAGGGCAAATAAATAATGTCTTCCACAGAAAATGCTTAGAAAGTACAACTATGAGGTAGTATTACCTGGCAGTTAGGTGACCGGAGATCCCAGAGTCGGATGGTCTTATCAAGAGACCCAGAAATGAAAGTGTCATCCACAGGTGACATGGACAAGGCCACCACCCTGCAATGCAGCAAGATAAACAGGAGGTGAAGTAAAATGTGAGCAAAAACTAGAGGTGAACTCTAAGCCAACTCTGCCTTATCTACATACACCTGTTCTCCCCAAACTGCCTTCTAGGGAACATGCACTACCATATCTAGGATAATCAAGGGCAACTTAGAAACCTTAGTATAAAAAAAAAATCTATGAGCCGGGTACCAGTGGCTCATGTCTGTCATCCTAGCTACTCAGGAGGCTGAGATCTGAGGATCACGGTTCAAAGCCAGCCCGGGCAGGAAAGTCCGTGAGACTATCTCTAATAAACCACTAGAAAACCAGAAGTGGCGCTGTGGCTCAAGCGATAAAGTGCTCTCCTTGAGCTGAAGAGTGCAGGGACAGCGCCCAAGCCCAGAGTTCAAGCCCAGTGATTGAAAAAAAATCTATGGGTGGGGAAGGTGGCTCAGTGGTAGAGTGCTTGCCTTGCATGCATGAGGCCCTGGGTTCAATTCCTCAGCACCACATAAGCAGTAAAGGCCAGAAGTGGAAGCTGTGGCTCAAGTGGTAGAGAACTCGCCTTGAGCTGAAGAGCTATGGGACAGCGCCCAGGTCCAGAGCTCAGGTCCCACAACCAGCAAATATCTATCGGGGGCTGGGAAGGTGGCTCAGTGGTACCAATGCTTGCCTAGCATGAAGCTGTGGGTTCAATTCCTCAGTTCCACATACACAGAAAAGACCAGAAGTGCCGGGCGCTGGTGGCTCACGCCTGTAATCCTAGCTACTCAGGAGGCTGAGATCTGAGGATCGTGGTTCAAAGCCAGCCCAGGCAGGAGAGACCATGAGACTCCTATCTCCAATAAACCACCAGAAAACCGGAAGTGGCGCTGTAGCTCAAGTGGTAGAGTGCTCACCTTGAGCTGAAGAGCTGAGGGACAGCGCCCAGGCCCAGAGTTCAAGCCCCACGACAAAAAAAAAAAAAAAAAAAGAAAAGACCAGAAGTGGCACTGTGGCTCAGTGGTAGAGTACTAGCCTTGAGCAAAAGCAGTTCAGGGACAGTGCCCAGGCCCTGAGTTCAAGCCCCAGGACTGGCAATAAGAAAAAAAAACAAAAAACAAAGAAACACCTTTTTAGTTCTTTATGGGCTGGGAAGATGGCTCAGTGGTAGAGTGCTCACCTAGCATGCATGAGGCCCTGGGTTCAATTCCTCAGTACCACATACACAGAAAAGGCCAGAAGTGGCACTTGGCTCAAGTGGTAGAGTGCTAGCCTTGAGCAAAAGAAGCTCAGGGACAGTGCCTAGGCCCTGAGTTCAAGCCCCAGGACTGAAAACAAAAAAACAAAAAAAAAAAAAAAAGGAATGAAATACTGAATCATGTGAAAATATGGATGAACCTTGGAAACATACTAAGTAACAGAAAAGGATACATAATATTCAATTCCATTTATACAAATATTTAGAACAGACATATCTATAGAGACAAAAAGTAAATTAGCTAGGGGAGGGAGAGGGCACTGCCAGTGGGAAAAGGGTTTTTCTTTGGGGTAATGAACATATTATGACATTTTTTTTTTTTTTGGGTCAGTTGTGGGGCTTGAACTCTGGGCCTGAGCACTATCCCTGTGCTCTTCAGCTCAAGGCTAGTGCTCTACCACTTGAGCTACAGCATCACTTCTGGTTTTCCGGTGGTTTATTGGAGATTAAGAGTTTCACAGACTTTCCTGCCTGGGCTGGCTTTGAACTGTGATCCTCAGATCTCAGCCTCTTGAGTAGCTAGGATTACAGGCGAGCCACTGGCACCAGGTTTGGAATTGGTTTTAAAGGGTGTGAACTGATGAACTAGTCAAAGAAATAAATGAGAGACAAAGGAAAAATCCCCTTCAAAGTAAAGATTCCTAGCCTAAAGATCAGAAGATTCGAACAGCCTCAGGGAAGCTCAAGACCAAAGGGGCATACTTTCACTGACTCCTGACTTCTCAGCAGCCACAATCAATGCCTTTGAAAAAATGGTTGCAGGCCTAAATTTCTGTGCAAGGTTAATTTAACACTTAAACTTATCATTCAGAAACATTTTCAGAGTTACCATGGTGGCTTAAGCCTATATTCCTGTCTATTTGGGAGGTAGAATTCTGGGGTCAGGAAATATTGTGATTTGATCAATCTGGGTAATTAAAGTTCATCAGAGTCCATTTTGACAAATGGCTGGGTATGGTTGCACCTGCCTGTTACCCAGTAACTCTGGAAGGTACAAGTAGATTATGGTCTAAGTAGTCTCAGACATAAACTGAGAACCTACCCCATAAAAAATAACCGTCTCGGGCTGGGAAGGTGGCTCAGTGGTAGAGTGCTTGCCGTGCATGCATGAGGCCCTGGGTTCAAGTCCTCAGCACCACATAAGCAGAGTAACCCGGAAGTGACTCTGTGGTTCAAGTGGTAGAGCTCTAGCCTTGAGTTGAAGAGCTAAGGGACAGCACCCAAGCCCAGAGTTCAGGCCCCATGACGGACAAAAAAGAAATAAACAAACCCCCAACCAACCAACCAAACACCCCAACAGACTAGCTGACTGGCTAAAGTAGTAAGTAGAATGCCTGTTTAGCAAGAGGGAGGCTGTGGAATGACTTCAAGATGTCCAAACCCTGGTGCTATAATTAACATAACTAGAAGAAACATTCCCAAGCTGGAGGCTCAAGGGGCTTTAGGTCTTGGAGGGGAATGAGTAACTATGTCAGGGTCTTCCTTGGAATGAGTAAGTATGTCAGGGTCTTCCTTGGTTGATATAAAACATGAGGTTGAGAAAATATTCAAGGATGGCTTGGAGAACAGCTTCATGAAGTAGTGTCAGGGTAGAAAGGAGGGGAAGGAAAGGTTTAGAAGGGTAGATTCTTGCTTATTTGGGGATAAGGGAATACTATTATTACCTAAAACGTTATTCAAGTTAAAGTGTGCATTAAAAAAAAATTTTTTTTTGGGTGCCAGTCCAAGAGCTTGAACTCAGGGTCTGGGTGCTGTCTCTGAGTTTTATGCAAGGCTAGTGCTCTATCACTTGGACCATAGCTCTACTTTTGGCTTTTTTTTTTTGGGGGGGGGGGGGGGGGGAGGGTGGGTGTTGTTAGCTAATTAGAGATAAGTCTCATGGGCTTTCATGCCTGGGCTAGCTTTGAACCATGATCCTCAGATCACAACCTCCTGAGTAGCTAGGATTACAGGCATAAACAATCTGTGCCTAGCCTTATTCACATCTTTTTTTTTTGGGTCCAGTTGTGGGGCCTGGGTGCTGTCCCTCAGCTCTTCAGCTCAAGGCTAGCACTCTACCACTTGAGCCACAGCGCCACTTCTGGCTTTTTTCTTATGTGGTGCTGAGGAATCGAACCCAGGGCCTCGAGCATGCAAGGCAAGTGCTCTACCACTGAGCCACCTTCCCAGCCCCCTTATTCACATCTTAACAGAGATGTGAATTATCTCTGAAGTCCTGTCCCTACTTCTACAATGTCAGTAAGTTAAGAGTTGACAGTTATGAAGGATTAATAAGACAGAGACAAAGGCCAAACAAATAGCAGCAAGAAAGTAGCTTGAGTTCATTAATAAAGTCTCTCTCCTCTTCTATTTTAGATTAACTCAAAAGGATAAAGTAATTCCACATTTAGGCTTACCTTTTGCTATGTCCTGGAAAGTATCTGATATATTTGTTGTCATGTAAGGACAAGTAACGTATGGTATCTGTAAGAAGACAAATAAAAGCGGATGATAATGGACTATTTAAATAGAATTTGCATCTTCATTTTGAAAAGGCAAGGTGGAGAACCAAGCAAAGTATTGGTGAGTAACAGTCCTCACAGGTGAAGGGTGTGTATGTGGACTCATAGAACTTAAAAACAGACTTCTAAGTAGACAGCACATAGGGCATTCACATTACTGGTTAGGGGGTCAAAGGATGTATCTCAGGGGTGGAGCCTTAACATGTGTAACGGGCCCTGCATTTAATCCCAGAATCACAGTTTCACCACCAATCTCTGTCTGGTTCATGAATTACGATTCCAATGCAATTTGCCCTGAAAATATACCTTGGCCAGGAAAAACAATCTAATATTTTAGAGACTTGGATCACTAAAAGGGTCCACAGAACGAACAACAAACCTTACAGAAGAACATCAGAGGGCTGGGGATGGGGCTTAGTAGTAGAGTGCATGCATGAAGCCCTGGGTTCCATTCTTCAGTACTACATACACAGAAAAACCCAAAGGGGCGCTGTGGCTCAAGTGGTAGAGTGCTAGCCCTGAGCACGGAGAAGCTCAGAGACAGAACCCAGGCCCTGAGTTCAAGCCCCAGGACTGGCAAAATACAGACAACCACCCTCAACAACAATACATCAGAATCTTGAGGAAATTGGCTGAAAGACATGAGCAGCTGCACTAAGCTGAAGATCTGGCTGGACTTTGGCAGAAATTTTTGTTGAAGATTCTTCTAACAGTGTTGACCTGTTCTCTGTGTTGAACCCTCCCTGTATGTATTAAAAATATTCAATTTACCCCGAAACTAAATAGAATGGAAAGAAAAAATATGAGTGTGTGTGTGCTGGTACTAAGGCTTGAACTCAGGGCCTCTTGCTTCACTTGGCTTTTCCACTCAAGGCTGGTTGGTGCTCTGCTACTTAAGCCATACTTCCACTTCCAGTTTTTGTTTTTGGTTGGTCGTGGGGCTTGAACTCTGGGCTTGGGCACTGTCCCTCAGCTCTTCAGCTCAAGGCGAGTGCTCTGGCTCTGCTGTTTGAGCCACAGCGCCACTTCCGGTTTTCTAGTGGTTTACTGGAAATAAGAGTCTCACGGACTTTCCTTGCCCGGGCTGGCTTTGAACCATGACCTTAGATCTCAGCCTCCTCAGTAGCTAGGATTATAGGCATGAGCCACCGGTGCCCAGCTTCACTTCCAGTTTTTGGCTACTTATAATTAGAAATAAGAGTCTCACAGACTTTTCTGCCTGGAGGTGTCTCAAACCTCAATCCATTCATCTCAGGCCAAGATCTCAGTAGCAAAGATTACAAGCATGAGCAGCCAGCACCCAGTTACTCAAGAAATAACATCCTAAGACATTTTAAAAATCAAACTCAGAACTGGGTATGTGGCTTAGAGGTAGAGTGCTTGCCTAGCATGCATGAAGCGCTGGGTTTGATTCCTCAGTACCACAGACACAGAAAAAGCTGAAAGTAGCACTGTGACTCAAGTGGTAGAGTGCTAGCTTTTTTTTTTTTTTTTTTTGGTCAGTCATGGGGCTTGAACTTTGGGCTTGGGCGCTGTCCCTCAGCTCTTCAGCTTAAGGTGAGTGCTCTACCGCTTGAGCCACAGCACCACTGAGTGCTAGCTTTGAGCAAAAGAAGCTCAGAGACTGTGTCCAGGCTCTGAGTTCAAGCTCTAAGACTGGCAAAGGAAGAGAGAGAGAGAAAAGAAAGGTCCCACAACTGACAAGGTTCTGATTCTGACAGGTGCCACTGGCTCATTCCTATAATTCTAGCTACTCAGGAGGCTGAGATCGGAGTACTGTTTCACTTCATAGCCAACCTGAGCAGATAAAGTTCATGAGACCCTTAACTCCAATTAGCCACTAAAAAGCTGGAAGCCGAGCTGTGGCTCAAATGGTAGCGCACCAGCCTTGAGAGAAAAATCTAAGAGAAAAGCTCAGGTTCTGAGTTCAAGACCCACTACTGGCACAAAACAAAAACCGGTGACGAGGGAATGAAGTACCATGAAGAACAGAACTGGAGGGCTGGGGATGTAGAGGAAAAAGTATAGAAAAAAACATTATGAAGTGGTTCACTGAGGTGTGTTCCAGTGAGAAGGCCAGGGACCTAGGAGGGGACGAGGGTCATTCCTGTTCATCTACAAGTCTCTCAAGCAACAGGCACCAAGTATTTGTGGATAATCTGGTACTGGAGAACGACTCACCTGCCCTGAGAAGGAAAGACTTCCTCCCATTACCTGCATTCCCAGGGATGAGCAGGGCTTCGCCATCCTCTCTGCCCGCTTGGTAGCTGGCGCGCTGTTCCTGGCAAGGCAGTGGCCTGTACAGTTATCTCCTGTACCGGGTGGTATTATAGACCCTCAAACTGTACAAACTACTACCTCAGCCTGGAATCAGGCAAAAGGAAACGGAGCACTGGAAGAACTCTTCAGGATGCACTTGAGATGCAGCAAAGCTGCAGGGGTCACGCGTGTGCCACACATGAGCCTCATCGTGTACCACATTTTACTGCTCAGAAAAGCAGCCCAATAGAAGACATATACCAGTCATTTAGATGAGCATATACATGTCTGTCCTTACCACCCTGATGTTTTATAATCTTGTCCAGAAACATTAACCACACTGCTTCCTTCTGAAATACACGCTTAATTAGAAATGATACACTTTAACCAAAACTCAAGTACAGTATAGGTAGAAAAGTCTTATTGAAAGAGAAAAGTGCTAGGTGCAGTGGCTCATGCCTGTAATCCCAACTACCCATGAGGTAGATAACAAAAGGATCACAGTTCACAGCACAGTCTGGACAAAAAAAAAAAAAGAGATCCCATATGAATGAATAAGCCTGGCCTGGTGAATGTGCCTATGTTTCCTATGTGGGAGGCCTTAAGTAGGGGGATCACAGTCAGAGGCTGGCTAAATGCAAAAACTATAAGGCCGACCGGGCACTGGTGTCTTACGCCTGTCATTCTAGCTACTCAGGAGGCTGAGATCTGAGGATCTTGGTTCAAAGCCAGCCTGGGCAGGAAAGTCCATGAGACTCTTAAATCTCCAATTAACCACCAGAAAACTGGAAGTGATGCTGTGGCTCAAGTGTAGAGTGCTTGCCTTGAGCTGAAGAACTGAGGGACAGCGCTCAGGCCCAGAGTTCAAGCCCCATGACCGACAAAAACAAACAAACCCCCCCCCCAAAACAGTAAGGAAGGCCCTACCTGAAAAATATCCAAAGCAAAAAACAGGAACATGGCTCAAGTGTTAACAGTGCCTGCCTATCAAGTATGAGGTCCTGAGTTCAAAATGCCAGTACTGGAAAAAACAAACAAACCCCCTAACCTATACTTAGATGGGATGCAAAGAAAACAGCAGTAACTTTTGATAAATGATATTAGAAATAGCCTGCTATAAAAAAGTGAAACAGTAAGCCAGCAAGTCTAAAAAAAATCCAAAACAATCCTATGTGAAAGAAGTGTTACAGCTCAATTATCAAGAGAATATGCTAACTTAGAAGGATTTAACCCAGGGGGAAAAGCAGGTAAAAAGATACTATTTATTACAGAAAGAAACACATTTTTAACTTTAATAATAATCCTTTGTTTTTCAAAGGCTGCATTTAGTTTATTTATTGACTGACAGTCCTGGGGCCTGAACTCAGGTCTGTGTGCTGTCAGCATTTTCACTCAATTACCACTGGGGCGGCTTCTCCACTTCAGGCTTTTTTTTGTGGGTGGCTGGAGAGAAGAGATTCATGAATTTTCCCTGGCTGGCTTTGAACTGCGATCCTTAGATCTCAGCTTCCCAAGTAGAAAGGATTACAGGCATGAGCTACCAGTACCTAGTAGGGTTTCTCTTCTTTATTTTGTATGTAGTCCTGGCTAGCCTAGACCTCCTGATATTCCTCAGGCTCTGGAATGGCAGAGTAATTTGGATCAAATACACATTATTTTGAATGGGGAGGTCCAACAGCTTACCACTTACTGTGTCTAGTATTCTTCCCTTCTATTTGTAAAAATATTCTTTCAAGTTTCAAAAGCAAAAATCAAGTATAGCTTCTTCCCCCCCCCACCCACTGTGAACTGAGATTTTTTTCCACACTTAGTTTTGAGTCTTTCAAAAGTACTAGTGGCTGGCTTCCAGCATTCCTTCAGGTTTAACAATGTTAATTTCCACATCATAGGAAAATATTTAAAGTAACTATAACTGAAACAGAAGTAGTTACAAAGATCCCACGAACAATTTGAGAAACCACAATTCAGAACTATTTAACAATGACCATAAGCTAAAATGAATGTCTTGCTTACCATCTATTTTGTTAGAGCTGTAAACAACCGTGTTTGCTGCATGCGTGTATCTGATGAGGTCTACGCCATATTTCTTACTGTACAGGGTTCTCTTTGGTCTGATAAGACAGAAAAAAAAATCACAATCACTCACAAAACTCTGAGATGTCACATATAAACAACAGCACTTGAATAATGTGGCAGTAGTGATGATTCTTGGTATCCTAACATTTGAAAGATACCGAACTTATTCTAAAAGAAATTCAATCAATGGGCTCGGAATGTGGCTTAGTGGTAGAGTGCTTGCCTAGCATGTATGAAGCCCTGGGTTTGACTTCTCAGTACCACATACACAGAAAAAGCCAAAAATGGTACTGTAGCTAGAGTGGTAGAGTGCTAGCCTTGAGCAAAAGAAGCTCAGGCCCCGAGTCAAGCCCCAGAACTACCCCCCCCAAAAAGGAAATTCAATCAACCAAGGGGTGTGGTAACCCCTATATCCTAACTACTCAAGAGGCTGAAGTAGGAGGATCACTTAAGCCCAGGAGGTAAGAGTCAGCCTGTATAACACCTGGAAACTATTTTTAAAAGGAAACACCAACAATCAGGTATAACCACCATCTAAAGAATAAACAAATTTGGGGCTGGGAAGGTGGCTCAGTGGTAGAGCGCTTGCCTTGCATGCCTGAGGCTCTGGGTTCGATTCCTCAGCACCACATAAGCAAAAAGAAAAAAGCCGGAAGTGGCACTGTGGCTCAAGTGGTAGAGCGCTAACCTTGAGCTGAAGAGCTGAGGGACAGCGCCCAGGCCCAGAGTTCAGGCCCCACGACTGGACCCAAAAAAAAAAAAAAAAAAAAAAAGAATAAACAAATTTGGGCTGGGAATGTGGCTTAGTGATAGAGTGCTTGCCTAGCATGTATGAAGCCCTGGGTTCCATTCCTCAGTACCACAGAAACAGAAAAAGTCAGAAGTGGCACTGTGGCTCAAGGGGTAGAGGGCTAGCCTTGGGCTGAGCTCAGGGACAGCACCAACACCTAGAGTTCAAGACCCACGACTGAAAGAAAAATAAAACAACAAATTTCTGAAAACCCAAGGCCAAGGTTACGAAAAAGTAAAATGCCAGGGGTTGATTTAGTTTCTACTGTAATGTTCAAAAATAAGCTTCAAGGAAAGGAAACTGTCTATTTGAGAATAAAATTGTATGTGGCAATATGTAACAACACATGTCATAGCTTACGAAGAGGAATATGAAAATACCTCAAGCACAGTCATTTTTCTTAAGGCATTACTGTAGAAAGCTCTTTCTTTGGGGAAGGACATTATCTGTCATAACTTAAGCCAATTGCAAATAGTTTGCCTTCTTAAAAGAATCTGATCGTGCAGGTCCATAACACTAGCTGAGCCCTTTTAGAAGGTAACGGCTAGAAAACGTGTAGTGTAAAACTACACATTTCCAACCCACTCGTGAAATGTCCCTGAATGATTTTCTCTACAGAACTTTGAAGATCAAGATCAAAGAAATCTAAGGGGGAAAAAAAACTGATCAAGAAGCTACTCTGGAGGCTAAAATCTGAGGACCACAGTTCCAAGCCAAGCTGAGCAGACAAATCTTGTGACTCTACAACTAACCATCAAAAAGTTCGAAGTGGCTGGGTACTGATACTTAATGCTTGTAATCTTAGCTACTCAGGATGCTGAGATCAGAAGGATCACGGTTCAAAGCCAGCCAGGTAAGAATGTCCGTGAAACTCTGATCTCCAACAAACCACCAGAAAACCAAAAGTAGCACTGTGGCTCAAGAGGTAGAGCGTTTGCCTTGAGCTGAAGAGCTGAGGGACAGTGCCCAGGCCCAGAGTTCAAACCCCACTACTGACAAAACAAAACAAAAAGTTGGAAGCGGAGGTGTGGATCAAGTGGCCAAGTACCAGTTTTGAGCAAAACAAAAAACTAAGTAAGAGTGTGAGGCCCAAGCTCCACTCCCAGCACCAAAACAAAACAAAACAAACACCCAAGTAGGGGATCGGGGCAATATACACCTGCAATCTTAGCATTCTAAGGTTGAAGTAGGAGGATCCTGAGTTCAAGGCCAGTATGGGCTATGTAAGGAGCTCATGTCCCAAAAAGCCCAAACAAAGCAAATCCCAAACATCTGGGAAAAACTGGATCTTAGTGCTAGTCCAACTCTCCATATGCAGAAAGTAATAAAACAAGAAAGACTTTAACCTCTAAACAAAACAAACACTAACCTAAGATTTGCTCCTTGTAAAAGTAATCTACGCAGACACCAGTGGCTCACACCTGTCAATCATAGCTATCTATTCAGGAGGCTGAGATCTGAGGATATCAGTTCAAAGCCAGCCTGGGCAGGAATGTCTGTGAGACCCTAATCTCCAATTACCAAAATGCTGGAAGTAGATCTGGCTCAAATGGTAGAACACTAGTCTTTTTTTTTTCTTTTTGCCAGTCCTAGGGTTTGAACTCGGCCTAGACACTGTTCCCTGAACTTCTTTTGCTCAAGGCTAGCACTCTACCACTTGAGCCACAGTGCCACTTCCGGCTTTTTCTGTGTATGTGGTACTGAGGGATCGAACCCAGGGCTTCATGCATGCTAGACAAGCACTCTACCACTAGGCCACATTCCCAGCCCCTAGAGCACTAGTCTTTGAGAGTACAAAAGCACAGAGACAATGCCCAGGTTGTGAGTTCAAGCTAAAGACAGACAAAAAAGAAAAAAAGAAATCCATTACCTTGTTTCCCTTTTTAGTTTGAAACTTTTTTTTTTTTTGGTCAGTCATGGGGCTTGAACTCTGGGCTTGGGAGCTGTCCTTGAGCTTTTCAGCTCAAAACGAGAGCTCTACCATTTAAGCCATAGTGCCCCTTCCAGTATTCTGGGATTTCATTGGAGGTAAGAATCTTATGGACTTTCTTGTCTGGGCTGGCTTTGAACTGCAATCCTCAGATCGCAGCCTCCAGAGTAGCTAGGGGACAGGCCTGAGCCACCAGCACATGCCTCAGAAAACAAGATCTTAATGTATTATATCTAATGTCAAAGGGATTTACAAAGTCTATAAGCAATAGCTTTTCAGGTATCGTTATGTGTTCCTTCTCAAGCTGTCTGGGCTAATGTCATCGTACCACTTCAACTATGCCTTCAGCATTGCTTTTTGTGGGTTATTTTATTGGAGATGGACGCTAGTAAACTTTTCTACCTGGGTTGGTCTTGAAGCCTAATCCTCCTGAGCTCAGCTTCCTGAGCAACTAGGATTACAGGTGTAAAGCCACAGGTGCTCAATTAAAACTATCCATTTCATTTTCCCCCCCAATCCTAACATTAATATCAGTTAATAAATGTATTGTGCCTTCCAAGGAAATATTTTCTTCTAACACTGTTTGTTCCACACAAGTGGTATAAAGTTTTTGTTCATCATTATCTGGTAAAATTTTTTAGGCCTAAAAAAGAATTATTTTTAGGGCTGGAGGCTTAGTAGAATACCAGCCTAGCAGAATCCAAGTTCTTTTTTTTTCAAAGGAGTTCTTTGAAACACCAACACTTTATCTGCAATTCCGTATAACTGCTACAGGTATGAATAAACTATTATTTGGATACTTCACTATTGTCTCTATTACCTTTCCAGACAGAAATTATGCCACCACAGAGATAAGCCCTTCAGAAATGTTAACCTCCCGTGGCTAGGATGTTGCTCAGTGGTAAAGTGTTTGCTTAGCAAGTGCAACGTCCTGAGTTCCATATCCAGTCCCCCTCACCCCCCCCAAAAGGCACACGCGCGCGCGCGCGCTGCGCGCGCGCACGCGCACGCACACACACACACACACACACACACACACACACACACACACACACACACACACACACACACACACACACACACACACACACACACACTACAGCTAGATATACTACCCCTAACCTCTAGACCCTTCAAATAAAGATGTGTATTTCTACCCTCAGGTTTTGGGGAAGGTTCTATTCCATGCATAAACTCTACACATCGCAAACACACCAGCTTCAAATTACTTCTGGCTCCAAAACTCCACAATCACACAACCCTACCCCCGCTTCATTTTCCATCACTTACTCCCTCTTTCATTCCAAACGGATCCAAGAAGACAGACATGGACAGAAATCCATCTACTAAAGAAACTACACTGCCTCAACTAAGCATCTGTCCAGCTAATGCTTCCCTCTCTCCCCCAGGGCCACCAAAGCCTCACTTCCTCATACCACAGGCAGAGACACAGCCAGTGACAAAATACTTTCTAATAGCCTCAGTGGGGAAACAATTGGGGAGGATATTATAGCTCAGTCCAAAGCAGTGTTACTTAGGACCATCAAATTCACAAATGAATACAAAAGTTCCAAAGGGGAGTTAAGGAGGATTGGGAAGGTGGTTCAGTGGTAGAGTGCTTGCCTTGCATGCATGAGGCCCCGGGTTTGATTCCTCAGCACCATATAAGCAGAAAAAAAGCTGGAAGTGAGGCTGTGGCTCCAGTGGTAGAGCGCTCACTTTGAGCTGAAGAGCTGAGGGACAGCGCCCAGGCCGAGTTCGGGCCCTAAGACTGACCAAAAAAAAAAAAAAAAAAGGCAAAAGAACAGAAAAAGTAGAGAAAAATCCAAGAACACAAAAAGATGTGGAATAAAGCTATAAAATGAAGTATCCACTAAATACATCAAATACCCTCTGCTTGGGAAAACTGGATGAAGGGAAGTAAAGTTTAAACTAGTTTTCTGCTCCAAAGCAAAGCCACCATTTGCTAGGCATCTGGTGGTTCATGCCTGTAATCCTAGCTACTCAGGAGGCTGAGATCTGAGGATCATGGTTCAAAGCCAGCCAGGTTTATCTCCAATAAACCACCAGAAGAAAAACAGAAGTGGTGCTGTGGCTCAAGTGGTCAAGCCCCTTGCTTCACCATTTACTTGAAGCAAGCTCATAGTGGTGAGGGCAGCCTGACAAGACCCCCAAATGTATGGGAAAGACCAAGTGCCCAGTTTATAAGATACTGCAAAGTAATAGGGGTGTAAGTGGTTCTACAAGTGCTCATAACTTTCATGATCAGATTCAGAAATTCTGAGGATTTCTGGTAAATCACATAAGCTGCTGGTAGTTATTATTATTTTTTTGGGTCCAGTCGTGGGGCCTGAACTCTGGACCTGGGCGCTGTCCCTCAGCTCTTCAGCTCAGGCTAGCGCTCTACCACTTGAGCCACAGCACCACTTCCGTCTTTTTTCTTTTTGCTTATGTGGTGCTGAGGAATCGAACCCAGGGCCTCATGCATGCAAGGCAAGCGCTCTACCACTGAGCCACCTTCCCAGCCCGCTGGTAGTATTTTTGAGACAAGGTCTTTAAAACTTATCCTCTTGCCTCTGCCTCCAAGATTAGAGGCATGGATCACCATGCTTGGTTAAACTCATTAAAGGGGAAACCCCCCCCCAACTGTACATCCCCTATGATGTATTTTCTTTTGTTTTTAAGTGAGCTCACACTCAGGTCAGAGGGAAAGTCAAGTCTGCTTGCATTGGGCAAGGGAAAGTTTAGGAATGTTTATTTAAAAGTTCACTGTAGGGGTTGGGAATGTGGCTTGGTGGTAGGATACTTGCCTAGCATGCATGAAGCCCTGCGTGATTCCTCAATACCATATAAACAGAAAAAGCCAAAAGTGGCACTGTGGCTCAAGTGGTAGAGTGCTTGCCTTGAGCAAAAGAAGCTAAGGACAGTACTGAGGCCCTCAGTTCAAGATACAGGACTGGAAAAAAAAAGTTCACTACAGGGGCTGGGCAGGTGGCTTAGTGGTAGAGTGCTTGCCTAGTATGCATGAAGCCCTGGGTTTGATTCCTAAGTACCACATACACAGAAAAAGCTAGAAATGGCTAGCCTTGAGCAACAGAATCCCCAGACCTTTAGTTCAAGCTCCAGGACTGGAAAAAAAAAGAAAAAAGTTCACTACAGCCAGGTGCTTGGAGGCTGAGATTTGAGCATGGAGCTTCCAAAGCCAACCTGCACAAGAAAGTCTGTGAAGATTCTCATGTCCAATTAATGACCAAAAAGCTAGAAGTGGAGGTGTGGCTCAGGTGGTAGAGTACTAGCTTTGTGCAAAATAGCGTTGGGACAGAGCCGAGTTCAAGCCTCAGGACCCACACCCACACCCTCGCCACACACACACCACACGCACAGTTCACAATCAACGTTAAGCGTCGAGTCTCAAGAAAATATTGAACCGGTAATTAAAGGCCAAGGAGTGAGGATGGAGGGGGGAGCTCACAGGGTCTCAAGGACTACAGAGTGACAGCTAAGGATCACATCTCGCGCTGGCGCGAGGAGCAGAAAAAGCAAAATAAGGCCGCTCGGAGAAGCTGAGGGGCAGTGGGGCGGGCGAGGTGCCAGGTCTCAATCCAGGTCACCGCAGGAGAGAGAGGAGGTGGGGGGGGAAGGGGAGGGAGACAGAGAGAAACCGACGCGGTGGCGCGGGGCTGGAGAACACCCTCTTCCAGTTCTGCGTGGAACTCGGGGAGGCGATCTGCAACCCCCTGACAAGCTTAAAGGAGCAGCGGGAAGAAGAACAAGAAAAAAGCCAGAGAGGCTTAGGAGACCCCGATGTGAAGTGTGTGTGTGTGTGGGTGTGTGTGTAGTGTGCAAACCGACAGGGCCTTCTAAAGGTCAAGGTCAAGGTGGGGCTGGGCCAGCATGGCAGAAATGCCCTGAGGGGTGGGAGTGGGGGGTGGTGTAGAAATCCAAGCCTAACAAAAATCTGGTCTGTCACCGGGCTGACGACCGTCTTTATTTTAAAAAGCCCCCCCCCCAAAAATGGGGGTGGGAGGGGGGGGTGTTCCCTCCAGATTTGTCAGCAAGGGAAAAGGCGGGGGGATCAAGTGCAAATATACATAAATACACTTGAATCTATGTATGTGTGTGTGTATGTATCTATGTGTGTATATGTGTATGTGTGTGTGTGTATGTGTCTGTGTGTGTAGGCCGTGGCGGGAGTCTGGAGAGCGCGGGAAGCTGAGGCTGGGGGGGGGGGGGGAAGGGAAGGATGCCCGCGAGTAGAGTTTTATCTTGGGGGGGGGGAAGGAACCCCAGGGCTTAGGCTATCGCGGGGTGGGGTGGGGGGGAGTCGGCATAGAGAAAGATTGAGAGGGAGGAGGGGGGGTAGGAGAAAAAAAAAAAGGGAGGGGGAAAGGAGGATTCTTGGGAACTCCCACCCCCCCACAGTCCTGGGGGGTGGGTGGGAGAGGGGGCGGGGGGGGGGCGAGGGAGCGGGGGGGGGGTGGGCGAGGGGGCGGGGGGGTGGGCGAGGGGGCGGGGGTGGGGTGGGCGAGGGAGGGGGGGGGTGGGCGAGGGAGCGGGGGGGTGGGAGAGGGAGCGGGGGGGTGGGCGAGGGAGCGGGGGGGGGGTGGGCGAGGGAGCGGGGGGGGGTGGGCGAGGGAGCGGGGGGGGGGTGGGCGAGGGAGCGGGGGGGGGTGGGCGAGGGAGCGGGGGGCCCTCCCCCCCACCCCTGCCCTAGCCCCCCCGCCCCAGCCCCCATCCCCACCCCGGCCCCCCCTCCCCCCCCCCCGCCCCCGCCCCCGCCCTCCCCCCCCCCCCCGCCCCCGCCCCCCCCTCCCCACCCGCCCCCCCCAGGCCGCGGCACTCACTTGCCCTCCTGGCAGTCGTACAGCACGATGGAGTCGTCGTCGCTGCTGGAGATGACGGTCTCGCCGTTGGGGCTGAAGTCGAAGCAGTTGATCTTGTCCGAGTTCTCGCGGAACACCTTGGCGACGCGGAAGCTCCGCAGCACGCTGTCGGTCAGCTTCATGGCGGCGGCGGCGGCGCGGATCCCGGGCGGGGCGCGGCCCAGCGGCGCGGAAGCGGGCGGGCCCCGACGGACGGGCGGACGGACGCACGGACGCGCGGACGCGCGGGCGGGCGCCACCAGGCCCCGCGCGCTCCCCACCGCCCCCCGCCCCACCTCCCGCCGCCGGCCGTTAGCAGCGCCGCCCCGAGATGGCGACCGTTATCAGCCGGGCCGCCGGCGCCCTCTTTCTTCCTCCTCCTTTTCCCTTCTGGGCTCCGCCAGGCGCGATCTCCTCCGTTCGGGGACGGGGAGGGGGGACGTGGCGGGGGTGGGGAGCAGGGTCCCGGTCGTCCGCCGCCTCAGAACCGCCCGGCGCGGCGCCGCCGGCTCATTGTGTCCGCCATCTTGGGGCGACACCGAGGCGAGACGCCGAGGCGAGTTTCAGCCGCCGCCGCCGCCGCCGCCGCCGCCGCGGCGCGAGCATGCTGGGAAAAAAAAGAGAGCGAGCGGGCAAGGGGGCGGGGCGGGAGCCCAGGCGCGAGGCCGGGCGGGCGGGGACTGGAGGGGCTGGAGGTGACGTCACGCGCGTCGCCACGCCCCCCCTCGGGGGCGGGGAAAAGTGCAGTCCAATGGCCGGAGGTTTTCCTGCCTCCAGTCCCCGCCTCCTCCTCCTCCTCCTGGAAGGGGCGGGGCCGTGCCGTGGTGGCGGGAACCGCGGCTTCCGGGTCGGTCTGTCGTGGTGGTGGTGGTGGTGGTGCCTGAATTCATTGGGGGATTTTGGGGGGGGTGTTCTTCACTCCCTCGAATGGGTGTGTGTGGGGGGGGGGGGGTAGTTCGCGATGTGGGGAGGGGACCGAGCGACGTTCTGGGTGAGTGCAGAATTTCAACCGTTTCCCACCCACTCCCCCCCCTCTCCCACCCTGGGAGACTCAGGCGACTGCTTAGGCCGCAGGTACTGGAGGCTTGGTTGTTTTTTGTTTTGGGGAGGGAAGGAGGGGGAGGGAAGGGACTCCTGTTTAGGTGAGGTGGAGGGGGCGGGGGGAAGACAGGAATTCTTTATTAGGGTTATTATTTTGTGGGTGTTGGAGGTGTGGGGGGTGTTGGGGGGTGGGGTGGGGTAAGGGGGGGGGAATTCCTGGGCCTGGAACTCATTTGTCTCTGAGCTTTTTCACTTCAGGCTAGCCTACTGAGTCACTGTTCTACTTCCAGCTTTTTTTTTTTTTTTGCTGGTGAATTGGAGATAAGAGTCTCACAGATTTTCTCGCCCCCAGAGCTTTAAGCTTTCTCTAAAAACCACAACAGCCACAAAAACACCGACTTTAAATCTACAACCTTGTTAACTCATATTAAACGTATAACCCCATGCATTGGTTGCGTATTTTGCGTGTGTGCTCGTACTAGAGGCTTCAGTTTAGGGCTTTATCTTCAGGCTCCACCACTTGAGCAGCTCCAGCCACTTCAGGCTTTTTGCTTCAACCCCTTGGTGAGAAGAATCCCAGGATTCTCCACTTCTAACTTTGATCTTCAGATCTCAGCTTCCTGAGGAGCTAGGGTTACAGGTGTGAGCTATCAGCACCTGGCTTCTCCATGATTTTTTTTTTTTTTTGCAAGTCCTGGGGCTTGAACTCAGGACCTGGGCACTGTCCCTGAGCTGCTTTGGCTCAAGGCTAGTACTCTTACCACTTGAGCCACACACTACTTCTGGCTTTTTCTGTTTATGTGGTACTGAGGAATCGAATCCAGGGCTTCATGCAAGGCAAGCACTCTACCACTAAGTCACATTCCAAGCCCTCCATGAATTTGTTTTGTTTTGTTTTAATTGGGGATTGAACTCCGGGCCTGGGCGCTGTCCCTCAGCTCCTCAGCACAAAACTAAGGCTCTACCACTTGAGCCACAGCACCACTTCTGGTTTCCTGGTGGTTAACTGGAGATAAGAGGAGACAGAAGAACTTAATGACCAAAGCAGGTTTATTCAGAGCAAACCTGAAACAGCCATCTGCCACTGAAGTGGAGAAAGTGTCTCTGACAGGCTGATTTTAGGTATTACTTAGAAGGGAAAGTGAGGACAGAGGCAGGAGACCTGGTATTTGTGATTTGGCTGCAGAGCCAGGGGACACAGATTGAGATGAAACTTGGTTGAGCAAAACCTAACCGCCGAAAGGTGGTTTTGCAAAATGGTGTTAGACTGTTCCTGATTTCATCAGGTGAGACTCAGGTTCTATCCCACACTGGAAACAAAATCTTTTTTTTTTTTTTTTTTGGCCTGGGGCCTAAACTCTGGGCCTGGACGCTGTCCCTGATCTCTTCTGGTCAAGGCAAGTGCTCTACCACTTGAGCCACAGTGTCACTTCCGGTTTTCTGGTGGTTCGTTGGCCATAAGAATCTCAGGGACTTTCCTACCCAGGCTGGCCTTGAACCAAGATTCTCAGATTTCAGCCTCCTGAGTAGCTAGGATTATAGGCGTGAGCCACCAGATCCAGGCTGGAAACAAAGCTTTTTTTTTTTTTTGGCCAGTCCTGGGGCTTAAAACCAGGGCTGTCCCTGAGCTTCTTTTGCTCAAGACTAGTACATTACCACTGGAGCCACAGTGGCACTGCCTGCTTCTTCAATGTATGTATACTGACAAATTGAACCCCGGGCTTTATGCATGTTAGGCAAGCACTCTACCACTAAGCCACATTCCCAGCCTCTGGAAACAAGATCTTAAGAAGAGCTATGAGACATTTACTCATTTGGCTATAGGAAGGTATGAGTGATATTCAGATACCTACCTGCAAACCTTGAGCAGTAGTTTAAAAAGAAAAAAAAGGAGCCAGGCACTGGTGGCTCATGCCTATCATCCTCGCTACTCAGGAGAATGATATCTGAGGATCACGGTTCAAAGCCAGCCCAAGAAAGGAAAGTCTGTGAAACTCTATACCTCCAATAAACAACCAAAAAACCAGAAGTGGTGCTGTGGCCTAAGTGGTAGAGTGTTCACCTTGAGCTGAAGAGCTCAGGGACAGCGCCCAGGCCCACAGTGCAAGCCCCATGAACGACCAAAAAAAAGAAAGAAAAAAAAGGAAACACTAGGATCTTGCAAATAATTGGGAGTTGTATTTTAATCCCTTCAGGTTAAGAGAGAACCAAGATTTTAGCAAAGTCTGGGTTGTAGTTGCTTCCTGACAGAACAGATGACTTCTGGTTACAATTTGTTCTGGAAATCTGGAAAAAGCTGGTTTAAGTGCAACCTGAATGGATGGCAACTTTCCAAAGGAGAGTCCTTTGTGCTCCAGAGTGAGCCAGAATACTTATTCCTTTCTCCCTGCAGTGTTGTGTGTATGCACATGCGCATGTGTGCCTCTGTGTGTGTGTGTTTCTGTGTGTGTGTTTGTGTGTGTGTGTCTGAGTGTCTGAGTCCTGGGGCTTGAACTCAGGGCCTGGACGCTGTCCCTAAGCTTTTTTGCTCAAGGCTAGCACTCTACCCACTTGAGCCACAGCTCCATTTCCAGATTTTTGGTGATTATAAGGAGTATGGACTTTCCTGCTGGGCTGGTTTCTAACTGTGATCCTCAGACCTCAAGCCTCCTGAGTAGCTAGGATTATAGGGGTGAGCCACCAATGCCCGACCTGTAGTATCTTTGCGTAAGAAACTAGAAAGAAGGATGTAGAGCCTGCTCTGAATCTTTTTTTTTTTCTTCTTTTGGTCATAGGACTTGAACTCAGGGCCTGGGTGCTGTCCCTGAGCAATTTTGCTCAAGACTAGTGCTCTGCCTCAGTGCCACTTCCAGTCTTTCTGGTGGTTCATTGGAAATAAGAGTCTCACAGGGACTTTTCACCCTGGGCTGGCTTCGAATCATGGTCCTCAGATCTCAGCATCCTGAGTTGCTAGGATTACAGGTGTGAGCCACCAGTACCTGATTGCTTTGAATCTTTAGATGGGAACACGGTGACCTATGCTGAACTGCTGGGTAAATTAAAGTTCCCTGTAGAGCTGTATCTAATATTACAGATCGTGTAAACTTTTGTGGCTGAACAGAAATACGGGGGAAAGATGGAATGTTTTAGCTCAAGAGCCAAGAATGACTTCAGCTTTAATAACCGTTTACCTTAACTGTTGTATCTGATGTAACAGTCTCCTACAATATCAACTTCACAGAATTTGTGCAGCTCAGCAGATTTCTAGCTTTCTACTAACCCCAAAGCTAAGAATATTATAATGTTAGAAAACTACTGAAAAGATTTCCCTGAGCCTGGTGCTTGCTAGTAGCTCACTCCTGTAACCCTAGCTACTTAGGAGGCTGAGATCAGAGGATTGCCATTTAAAGCCAGCCCCTGTTGGAAAGGTTGTAAAAGCCACCAAAAAACTCCCAAACAAAACCCAGGAAGGGGCCCTGTGGCTCAAGTGGTAGTGGGCTAGCCTTGAGCACAGAGGCTCAGGGCCCTGAGTTCAAGCCCCACAATTGGCAAATAGAACAACAACAATAACAACAAACGAGATAGATGGAGTTTGAATGACCCGGAATGGCATGGACTGTATTGCCTTACAAACGGTACCAGACTTCATTTTTTATGTCTTAAAAAAAAAATTTTTTTTATAAAGGGATGTATAGAGGAGTTACAATTACATAAGTCGGGTTGAAGCAGGATAGACAAAGGGAAAATAAGGTATGATCAACTTACAGCAAATACAGGAGATCCTCATTCATTTGCTTCCCTAAAGATTAAGGGGTCAAAGTCATTTAGAGGAAAACGAGGCAGGATGAATTGAGCAAAATGAGACCTGATGAAGGCAACTCCGAAATTCAGTAATTAGAACCGTAGACTTGCATCTTTATTTCAAAGAGAGACAACAGGATGCATTCCTTCCTGAGGGATGCATTTCTTGCCCCAAGAATGAACAACTGGTCTGGCAGGATGTATGCTGCCTCAGAACTTGAGCATTCTGGGCTGGGAAGTTGGCTCAGTGGTAGAGCGCTTACCTTGCATGCCTGAGACCCTGGGTTCGATTCCTCAGCACCACATAAGCAAAAAGCAAAAAACGGGAAATGGCGCTGTGGCTCAAGTGGTAGAGCGCTAGCCTTGAG